AGTGACAAATTAAAATGGACAAACTAAAAAACAACAGAAAAAGAGTTTATCGCAGAAATATCATTATTAAGATGGGCCTGATTCACCATCAGAGACAAATCTGATTTAAAATCACTAAAAATAACACAGAAATTATAAAAACGCCATTTACTAGTTTTATTAGAACACAGTTGTCAGTGTTTTTTTCATTAATTAGATAGTCTTTTTAAACATTTAAAATGTTTCACCCAGGTCTCCTGCTACTATGCACTTGCGAAACAGTGATCATTGCGAAGAAGAGATTTGTAGGCAGCTCCAGCTACAAGTGAAATGATTTTGAATTCAATTTTAAAGATTATGGAAAGGTTATTTATGATCAAAGTAACTCACTCTTGAATGCCGCAATATTATGATTCATCCAATTTCAACCAGACTGCACTGATCAAACTAATGCAGACCAGCAGACAGTCTACAGTGTAATTTTTCCAACGAAGAACCAAGGTACTGTATAGATCACTGAATATTTACATATTTCAAGAGATGGGGTTACATGTCCTGAGTCATAAATGTACCTACATTGATAACTAACCATTATTCCAGCTTGCTTATGTTTCAAGATCATTTTCTTCAAAGTGTTGCTGACTGCTTTTAGCACACAGAGAGATGGTTGGTCCTTTAGGATGACTGTGGTAATGCCCAACAGAAGCCAAAGCAGAACTATAACAGAAAGTGCTGGAGACACTCAGCAGGTTTGGTGAGAAAGAGTGTTTATCGACCAAGAAAGAGTGTTTATGTCTCAAGTCCAATATGGCTGTACTCTGCCCCTTCAGTGTCCATTGCCCTTTGCATCCCCGTCTGGTACCTACAATCCCCAGCACTAAGACTGTCAGCTCCCAACTGCAACAGTGTCTCCCAATATCCCACAATGGCAATCATGCTGCTAATCCCCAAAGCTGTCCATTCTCTAATCCCTCCCCATGCCCAACCTTGACCAATTTAGATGACAGCCCTGAGTGATGGCTGAGCAGATATCCAACCACTCTATGTGAAGATCCCTGACGGATGAACCGTGAATCCCTGACTGTTTTTACTGGAGCTGTAGGACTAACTGTGGCTCACTCCCTGGACCATAGTGAGACTGACCCCCTGGTCCTGACTGCCTCAGTGGTGACTGATTGTGCTCAGATCCCTGGAATGAGATCACTCACTGCTCCTGGCTGATTGTACCAGATTCCTGACTGACAACAACACCCCCTTGACTTGACTGAAGGCTGATCCCTTTGAGACATGGCCATTTGGTTGAAGCACATGCAGTGTCTTTGTTGGCACATGCTGCGGTTGTGACATGGTGCAGCACAACATCAACCACAGCAGGCTGGTTGGCTTTGTGTCTGTGTTAAGCAGCAAGGCAAGACAAAGGTACCATGACCTTTAAAGTATGGCTGAGGGGACAAAGACTAAAAAGCAAGGCAAAGCATAGCAAGGCAAGGCAGGGATGCTGTGAGCATCTAGGCAGGCTCCAAATGAGTGAATGCTAAGAGGCCAAGGGAGCAACCCTCAACTGAAGCCCGATTCCATTCATGAGCCGGACGCCTGAATGGTCAATCTTAGTGTTAGTGTAGATAAAAAATCACAATCTCAGCTCAGAGTTAAGGATGGGCCAAAATTACAAAGAGGGTGGTTCAGCTCCAGATAGTTACCATGGTGATTGTAGCTGAGACCTAAGCCAATGGCCATAGTCTTTCCAAAACCATTCACATCATACAAGTACCAGGCAATGCCATTCTCCAACAAAACAGAATGCAAAAATCTCCCTTTAACATTCAATGGCGTTACCATCACTAAATCTCCACCAACAACATTCTGGGGGTTACTATAGACCAGAAACTGAACTGGACTATTCGGATAAATACTGTGGTTACAAGAGCAGGTCAGCGGCTAGGAATACTGCAGCAAGTAACTCACCTCTCGACTCCCCAAAGCCTGTCCACCATCTACAAGGCACAAGTCAGGGGTGTGATGGAATACTCCCCACTTGCCTGGATGGGTGCAGCTCCAACAACACTCAAAGCAGCCCACTTGACTGGCACAACATCCGCCATCTTCAACATTCATTCCCTTCACCACTGATGCTCAGTAACAACGGTGTAAACCATCTTCAAATGCATTGCAGCAACGAACTTTTTGAAAAACTCATTTGTGGGATGTGGGCATCGCTGGCTGGGACCAGCATTTATTGCCCATCCCTAGCTGCCCTCGAGAAGGTGGTGATGAGCTGCCTTCTTGACCTGCTGCAGCCCATGTGCTGTGGGTTGACCCACAATGCCTTTAGCAAGGGAATTTCAGGATTTTGGCCCAGCAACAGTGAAAGAATGGTAATATATTTCCAAGTCAGGATGGTGAGTGGCTTGGAGGGGCAACCAAGGGTCCTCTGACAGCACCTTCCAAATCCATGGCCTCTACCATCCAGAAGAACAAGGGCAGCAGATACATGGAAATATATTACTGTTCCTTCAGGGTCACGAGATCGAGAAACTGGAATTCCCTCCCTAAAGCATTGTGGGTTTACCTATAGCACATGGGCTGCAGCAGTTTAAGAAGGCAGCTCACCACCACCTTCTGCACTGCATTTAGGGAAGGGTAATAAATGCTGGTCCAGCATTTAAAAGAATAAAATTTAATATTGTTACATCTTGTCTAAGGAAAGTCAAATTCTGCATCCTCCCCAGCCCCACTGTGCTTGCTGCTCCTGTTGCCATTCTACTGGAAAGCATGTATGAGATGCACTGGGGGACTCATTCCATGATAGCTCCCATGGTGCACCAGCCTATTGCATTCACTGACGAGGTTAACTATGGAGATGGATGATTGGGGTGAGGTCTGTCACTGCCCCGGAAACTGTTAACACTACAGGTGAGGAAACAAGCAGAGAGAAACATGACACAGTAATCAAACTCCTGATGGAGAAGAAAGGTGTGCTTGTGTGGGTGGAATTTGGCAGAATGTAACTCCACTTTAGGTAATAAGATTTGTTAGAGCTGCCGACATGCTCAGGCATTGCTTATCACATTCTTCACTTGGCAGTGACCTTAAGATTCTTGAATTTCAGTATACAGACAAACAGTCCTCATTGAACCTGGGCATGTTGAAGATTCTTGTACAATTTTCCTGCTGCATAGCTTCAATCTGTTAACCTTGCAGCCAACAACAGCTTACATTTACACACTATTTTGAATCCTGGGAAACTTCACTGCAGCAATATCAAACCAAATTTGACAGTGAGCCACATAAAGAGGCATTAGACAGGTGACCAAAGGCTTGTTGAAAGAAGTAGGTTTATTCAGCAGTGTCTTAAAGGAGGAGAGAGAAGTAGAGAGCCCGAGAGCTTGGGGAAGGAACTCCAGAGCTTAACACCCAGGCAGATGAAGCCACAACTGCTAATGGTAGAATAGCTCAAATCAAGGATGTGTAAAATGTGCAATGGATTGGAGAAATGCCAGGGGGTGCAGGATTCAAGGAAATTGTTGTGGTAACAAAGACAATGACCATGGATGGATAGTAAGGATGAAAATTTTAAAACTGAGGCACAGGAGCTGGTGTAGGTGAACAAGCACAGGGTGGGTAAATGAATGGGACTAGGTGTGAATTACATGATAGATGTCAGAGTTTTTCTATTGACTCGCGAGACTTGAGTGTCAAAGGTAGTGCTAGCATTTGTTGACTATTCCTAGTTGTCCTTGAGCAGATGGTGGTGAACTGCATTCTTCTACCAGTCCATGTTGTATAATGTGTCATGTAAGTTCGCCCACATACCATCCAGGAGGAAATTCCAGGATTTGGACCCAATGGCACTGAAGGAACATTGATATATTTCTAAATCAGGATGATGAGTGGTTTGGAGGGGAACTTGTAGATGGAGGTGTCCCTATGTACCTGCTGCCCTTGTTCTTCTAAAAAGAAGTGGTTGTAGGTTTGGAAGGTGTGTTTCTTAGCACAGAATTCCCAGTCTCTGACCTGCTCTTGTAGCCACTATATTTATATGGCTAGAGACAAAAAAAACTGCAGATGCTGGAATCCAACGTAGACAAACAGGAGGCTGGAAGACCACAGCAGGCCAGGCAGCATCTGGAGGAAAGGAGAAGTTAATGTTTCGGGTATTACCCTTCCTCAGGACTATGGCTAGACCAGTTCAGTTCCTGGTCAATGGTAACCCCAGACTGTTGACGATGGTAAGTTCAGAAATGGTAATGTCATTCAATCTAAAGGGGAGATGGCTACATACCCTCCTGTTGGAGATGGGTATTACCGGGCACTTGTGTGGCATGAATGTTACTTGCTACTTACCAGCCCAAACCTACATATTGTTCAGATGTTTGTGCAGTTGGAGATGGACTGTTTCAGTATCTGAAGAGTCACGAATGGTGCTGAACATTGTGCAGCCATCAGCAAACATCCCCACTTCTCACCTTATCATGGAGGGAAGGACATTGATGAAACAGCTGAAGATGGCTGGGCCTAGGACATTACCCTGAGGAACTCCTGTTGAGATGTCCTGGAGCTGAAATGACTGATCTCCCCCTCCCCAGCAACCATAATCGTGTTCCTTTGTTTCAGCTATGAGTCCAACCAGCAGAGCATTTTCCCGCTGATTCCCATTCTCTCCAGTTTTGCTAGGGGTTCTTTGCTCCTTGATGCCACAGTTGGTAAAATGTTGCCTTGATGTCAAGGGCAGTTCCTCTCACCTTACCTGTTTTTCCAGGTGAGTTGAGTAACACAGTGCTGATAGCTGCTACTCAAATTTGGAAACTTCTTAAATATGTCAGCTTCAATAAATCCCTAATCAACTCCCCACTTATCAGTGTAACAGAGATGGTGTTACTATTCAAAGAGTTATTTTGTAAGAGAAGACTGAAGAAAGCTGATTTATTCAATTTACAACAACAAGTGTTCTGACGAAGGGTCATTGGACCTGAAATGTTAACTCTGATTTCTCTCCACAGATGCTACCAGGCCTGCTGAGCTTTTCCAGCAATTTCTGTTTTTATTTCTAATTTCCAGCATCCACAGTTATTTTGCTTTTTATTTAACCTAAAATGCGATGATTGCTGTGACCCCACAGAAGTACGTAAGGCAGTAACTGGTAGACTTATTAAAGAGGTTTTGGTAACATTATGAATGTATGTGCCAACGATTCTTTCACAACAGATTTAACATCTGCAAAACAATCAAACAAAAGTCTTGTATAATTATGAGGTAGACTTTAATTGTCAGTAATTTATCAATATAAGCCTGCCAATTCCAATCTGCCTTTAGTCTGGAATGTTTTTTAGGCAGACTGGCTCTCTGAGGTCCCGAGCCATTAATTACAGCTTATCCCCAACTGGAATCAGGAGAGTTTGCAGCAGAAAACAGGCCATTTAACCCAATAAATCAATGACCCAGGGGGCAGTGATCACAATATGATAGAATTCATCTTGCTGTTTGAGAGGGAGAAGCTGGAATCAGATGTAACGCTATTACAATCGAGTAAATGTAACTACAAAAATATGAGGGAGGAGCTGGACAGAGTTGATTGGAAGGGAAGCCTAGCAGGGAAGATGGTGAAGAAGCCATGGCAAAAGTTTCTGGCGGTAATTTGGGAGGCACAGCAGAAGTTCATCCCGAGGAAGACGAGGAGAACGAGGCAACAATGACTTACAAGAGAAGTCAGCGACAGCATAAAAGCCAAAGGAAAAGCATACATTGTGGTGAAGACTAATGGGAAGCCTTTAAAAACCAGCACAGGGTAACTAAAAAAGCAATAAGCAGGGAGAAGATGAAATATGAGGGTAAGCTAGTTTGTAATATAATAGAAGATTACAAGAGTAAAAGGTAAGAAAGAGGCAAGAGTGTATTGGACCACTAGAAAATGAGGCTAAAGAAGTAGCAATGAAGAACAAAGAAGCAGCAGAGGAACTGAATAGGTATTTTGCATCAGTTTTCATAGTGAAAGACACCAACAGCATATCAGAACTTCAAGAGAATCAGGGGGCACAGGTGAGTGTAGTGTCCATCACAAAGGAGAAGGTGCTGCGGAAGTCTTAAGGCAATGAAATCACCTGGACCAGATGGACTACACCCCAGAGTTCTGAAGGAGATAGCTGTGGAGATTGTAGAGGCTTTGGTGGTGATTTTTCAGGAATCACTGCATTCAGGGAGGGTCCCAGGGGACGTGAAAATGGCTAAAGTAACATCCCCATTTAAGAAAGGAGGGAAGCAGAAAACAGGAAACTATAGGCTGATTAGCTTGACCTTGGTCATTGGTAAGGTTTTAGAGTCCATTGTTATGGATTAGATTGCTGAATATTTGGAAGTGCAGTCAGTTCTGATATAATGCGATGTTTCCATTCTCTTGCAATCTTGTGTTATAAGAAAATTGCGCAATAGCCGTGCCAGTTAAACTAATGGGGTTGGAATCGCGTTACAGCCATTACAGGTAAGGAAAGCTCACATTCTACAAATAGCAGTCTAATTTCTTCAATTGCATTAAATTCAATTCCTGTTGAAGAAACACACGTTATAGCAGAACTGACCGTGCATGGTAAAATAGGGCTGAGTCAGCACAGCTTTGTCAAGGCGAACACATGCCTGGCAAATCTGTTAGAATGTTTTGAGGAGATAACAAGCAAGTTAGATAAAGGACGTGATCTAGTTGGATTTCGAGAAAGCCTTAGACAAGGTGCTACACAGAAGACTGCTAAATAAGATAATAGCCCATGTTAGGCGCAAGAAAAAAGGCATGAATAGAGGATTGGCTGACTGGCAGAGGCAGAGAGTGGGGATAAAGGGGTCTTTTTTAGGGTGGCAGCTGGTGATTAGTGAGTTCCACAGGGGTCAGTGTTTGGCCTACAACCATTCACGTTATACATTAATGATCTGGATGAAGGAACTGAGGGCATAGTTGCTAAATTTGCAAATGGCACAAAGATAGGTGGAGGTAGTGCTGAGGAAGAGGGGAGGCTACAGAAGGACTTGGACAGGCTAGGAGAGTGGGCAAGGAAGCAAAGAATACGGTGTGGGTAAGTGCGAGGTTATGCACTTTGGTAGGAAGAATAGAGGTCCAGACCATTTTTTAAATGGGGAAAGCCTTCCAAAATCTGAAGCTTAAAGGGACTTAGGAGTCATAATTCAGGATTCTCTTAAGCTTAACATACAGGTTCAGTTGGCAGTTCGGAAGGCAAATGCAATGTTAGCATTAATTTTGATAGGGCTAGAATACAAGAACAGGGATGTACAGCTGAGGCTGTATTATACTGTGGTCAGGCCACATTTGGAATATTGTGAGCAGTCTTGGGCCTTGTATCAAAGGAAGGATGTGCTGGCCTTGGAGGGAGTCCAGAAGGTGTTTACAAGAATGATCCCAGGAATGAAGGGCTTCTCATATGACGAGCAGTTGAGTCTTCTGGGTCTGTACTCGATGGAGTTTCAGAAGGATGAGGAAGGATCTGATTGAAATTTACAGAATACTGACAGGCCTGGGTAGAGTGGACGTGGAAAACATGTCTCCACTAGTTAGAAGCTGAGGGCACAGTTTCAGAGTGAAGGAACAGCCCTTTAGAACTGAAATGAGGGGGAATTTCTTCAGCCAGTGGGTAATTAATCTGTGGAAATCATGGAGCAGAAGGCTGTCATTCAGTGTATTTAAAACAGAGATACCTGGGTTCTTGATTAGTAGAGGGATCAAGGGTTATGAGGAGAATGCAGGAGAATGGGGTTGAGAAACATATCAGCCATGATTGAATGGTGAAGCAGACTCGATGGGCTGAATTGCCAAATTCTGCTCCTATGTCTTCTGGTCTTATGAATACTGGAGGGGGAGGAGGGGGATACAGTAATTGCAATTATGACCTATGTTGGAACCAACATCTTATGGATCAATAAGCAGGAAGTATTGTTTGGAAACTTCCAGGAACTATAAGCAATAAATGTATGAACTGGATGTCAATGGTTATAATCTCTGGATTACACCTGAGCCACATGCAAATTGCTGTCGGACTGATTGAGGTGGTGAACACATCTCTGAACAAGGATTCTGTTTCTCAGAGATAGTCCTGATGAAGGGTGTAAACCCGAAGTGTCGACTTTCCTGCTCCTCTGATACTGACTGACCTGCTGTGTTTCTCCAGCTCCACACTGTGTTCACAAGGATTCTGCTTCATAGTTGGAAATGAACTGGATGGGCTCCATCTGGTACAAGATATTAATGCAATTTAGAAATAGAACAGTCACAAAACAACCAAAAACTGGTAAATGTAAGGAAAGGCTCAGGTATAAAAAAAATACTTGACAAGAAATGAAAAGGAGTTGACAGAAAATGTGCTGAATTAGAGGAAAAGAGAAAACTAAAAGTGTAAATAAGTAAGTTAGGAGACAGAATTATGAAATGTGTAACATCAAAACAGACAGGCTGGTTGGGGTGTTTGAATATTTGGTATTTCTAGCCCAGGAAATTATAGAAACTGAATGTTTGAATATGTTCTACGCTGAGATAGATTTTGGGAAGTCAAGATTTATGGAGACTAGGTTGAGAAGTGAAATTGAGGTTAAGGTCAAATTGATTGTAATCATGTTGAGTGCACAGCAGTCTCGAGGATCTGTATGTATCTCTGTTTCTTGCAAATAACCTTTCACTGGCATTGGCAATATTGCCAAAAATGAAATGATTTTAGACAGTACAGGGTTACTAGCTGTGGTATTTTAAGGGATGTACCATACTTTAGCTGGCTGTCTCCCTTAAAGGGTACCTTTTGTTTGTTGTACCTGGTACAGTAGTCCATGTGCTGTAGATAGACCCATAATGCCTTTAGGGCTGGATCCTGGATTTTGACCCAGCGACAGTGAAGGAATAAGTCAGAATGGTGAGTGGCTTGGAGGGGAACTTGTAGATGGTGTTCCAATATATCTGTTGTCCTCGTCCTTCTGGATCCAAGTGTTTGTGGGTTTGGAAGGTGCTGTTTAAGGGTCTTTGGTGAATTTCTGCAGTGCATCTTGTAGATGATACACACTGCGGCTTCTGAGCATCGATGGTGGAGAGAATGAATATTTGTGGATGTGGTGCTAATCGAGCAGGGTGCTTTGTCCTGGATGGTGTCAAGCTGCTTGAGTGTTGTTGGAGCTGCTCTCATTTAGCCAAGTAGGGAGTATTCCATCACACTTCTGACTTGTGCCTCGTAGATGGTGGACTGGCTTTGGGGAGTCAGGAGTTGAGTTACTTGCTGCGGGATTCTTAGCCCCTGACCTGCTCTTGTAGGATTGTATTTATATGATGAGTCCAGTTCAGATTGTTGATAATGGGGAATTCAGTGATGGTAATGTCATTGAATGTCAAGGGTGATGGTTAGATTGTCTGTTATTGGACAGGGTCATTTCCTGACATTTATGTGGTGTGAAAGTTAGTTGCCCCTTGTCAGACTAAGCTTAAATATTGGGTAGATCTTGCATTTGGACAAGGACTGCTTCAGTATCTGAGTAGTCACAAATGGTTCGGAACATTGTGTAAACATCAGTGAATTTCTGATCTGATGATAGACAGAAGGTCATTGATGAAGCAGCTCAAGATGATTGCGCCTAGGACACTACGCTGAGGACCTCCTGCACAGATGCCCTGGTGCTGAGATGACTGACCTTCAATAGCCATAGAATCCCTACAGTGTGGAAACAAGCCATTCGGCCCAACAAGTCCACACTGCCCCTCCGAAGAGCATCCCACCTTGACCCATTCCTCTGATTTTCCATGTCTAACCCACCTAATCTAAACATCTATGGGGACTATTGGCAATTCAGCATGGCCAATCCACCTACCCTGCACATCTTTGGACTGTGGGAGGAAACCAGAGCACCTGGAGGGAATCCACGCAGACACAGGGAGAATGTGCAAACTCCACACAGACAGTCACCCGAGGCTGGAATCAAACCCAGGTCCCTGGCGCTGTGAGGCAGCAGTGCTAACCACCAAGCCCCCGTGCTGCCCATAGAGGCCCAGGTATGAATCCAGACAGCAAATGATTCCAGTTGACTCAGGTCTTTCTAGGGCTCCTTGATATTACACTTGGTCAAGTGTGGTCTTGATGTCAAGGGCTGTCACTCTCACTTCACCTCTGGAATTCAGCTCTTCTATCCATGGTTGAATCTAGGCTGTAATGAGGTCAGGAGTTGAGTGGTCCTGGCGCAACCCAAACTGGGTGTCACTGAGCAGGTTATTGCAGAGCAGGTGCTGCTTGAAAGCACTGTTGATGACACCTTCCATCACTTTACTGATAATTGAGACTGAAGAGGTAGTAATTGGCCAAGTTCAATTTGTCCTGCTTTTTGTACCCAGTACATACCTGGGCAACTTTCCACATTGTCAAGTCGATATCAGTGTTGTAGACAAACTGGATCAGCTTGACTATGGGTGTGATAAGTTCACACTTCCTCTGCATGGTGCTTAACATGGAGGAATACTGATGCATCAGCTCAGGGTGGGGCCACTGGATGATAATCAGCAGGCTTCCTTGCCCATATGTGGCCCGATGCCGTGAGACTCCATAGGCTCTAGAATCAATGCTGAACACTCACAAGGCAGCTCCCTCCTGATGATGTATGGTTCTGTGGGATGACCCAGAACATAGTGTATCTGGGACAGTGCGTGCAAGTTATGATTGCCTGACTGTGACTCTGTGAATCTTGTCATGTTTGTGAGACAGCTCTCCTAATTTTGGTACCATCCTTAGATGTTGGTAAGCAGGACTTTGCAGGTTTGACAGGCTTGCTTTAGCTGTTGTTGTGCTCAGGTCAATGTCAGATGATCCACCTAGTTTCATTCCTGGTGTGTTGCACTTTAGTGTTTGATACAAATGAATGGCTTTTGTGGCCAGTTGGAGGGCAGTTATTCATTCATTCTCAGGATGTGACTGGACCAAAATTTCCACTCTATTGCTTTGGGTCTACAGTTGTAGATTACCCAGGCTAGGTAAGGGAGGCAGATTACCAACCCTAAAAGGGCATTGGTGAACCAGATGGATTTCTAAACAACAATAACCTCCATCAGACTAGCTTTTTCAAGAAAAATCTAGGTTATATTGAATTCAAATATCACCATCTGCTGTGGTGGTATTCAAATCTTGACATTAGCCTGGGGATTTTGAAATATGAATTCATCTTTGGCTCAGTGGTTAACACTGCTGCCTCACAGCATCAGGGACCTGAGTTCAATTCTATCCTCAGGTGACTGCCTGTGTGGAGTTTGCACATTCTCCCTGTGTCTGCGTGGGTTTCCTCCAGGTGCTCCAGTTTCTTCCCACAGTCCAAAGATGTGCAGGCTAGGTGGATTGGTCATACTAAATTGCCCATAGTGTTCAGGGATGTATAGATTAGGTGGATGGATCTGGGAGAAATGCTCTGAGGGTCAGTGTGGGCTTGTTGGGCCAAAGGGCCTGTTTCCACATTGTAGGGATTCTATGATTCTTTATTACCACGGTTCTGTTGCCTCTCCAGTTAAGAGTCCATCACATTGCTTTAGATATACGTGACTGGTAAGGACAGTAGTTATTCTACCCGAAAAAAACACATGCAAACTAGATGGATTCTCACAACAAAGGCTACATGGTCATCATCAGACTTTTAATTACAGATTTTGTTTTTAATTTTGAATGTGAGATCCTGGGACACTAAAATGAAAGCAACATCCTGAAGTAGTCACACCAGAATCGAGACGTTAACGCTTGTTTTTCTCTCCACAGACAGTCTCTCAAGCAGTTTTAACTTTTATCCCTGGGACCTTGTGTCCCCGGATTACTCAATCAACAACTATAGCACCACACTATTGCCTCTCTGTTAATAATCTTGTGAATTAATTACCAACTAAATTGTAAATTTTATTAGTCACCAGCAACTGTCCAACGTGTTATTTGATAAGTGTTGGGTACATTGATTGTGTTTGAATATTGCCCCTTACCTGTTGGATTTCAGTGACTATTTGACTTGTTCCCAGTTCTGCAGCAAATTAAAATTAACATTTCTCAAGATAAGGAGATTTCTCAGTGAGAGAGGAGACGAAATAAATCAGTGTTAAAGAAACAATACAGCATAGGTGTTTTAGGTCAGACATACATTCCATTTGAAGTAGATTTATTGTCTCTAGCAGCACATTCTTACAAAAATGTTTTCCATTAAAAAGGAAATTATTACCTTATGACACCCATACAACGACTCATAACAACTGATATTGTAACAACATTACAACTGCGTTTATTTAATTTATAGAAAGGAACTTTATTTGGAGGCTCGAATGTACTGTTGCTAATTACATTGATATTTGGCCTTGGGTCGGCACGGTTGGAAAGCGGTTCGCAGATTCGGCGGAACTGTTTATAACTTTATAAAATTCTGCCAGGCCCAAGGTGGGAGTTTATTGGGGGAGATCAAGTCCATCCGAGGCGGCGGGTATTCCCCGGTGTCGGGAAAGTTTCCTCCGGCAGCTGTGGCCGGGTTTGGTTTGTGTGGAATGTGCGAGCTCGGCGCCCCCGGACAATAGGAGCCGCTCGCGCTCGGTCCGCGCGCTTCCCGCCCCCGGCCCCGGGCTTGCGGATCCAGACCCTTCCCCCCCTACCCCTCATAACCACCCTCCGGGAGACTCGTTACCGGACATCCCCCACCTCACCCCCTACCCCCCCTCCCCCTCTCCGGTGACACAGGACAGCTCCCGGCCTCGAGCTCCCTTCCCCCTACCTCGGCCAGGGATACCAGCCGGGACCTTACCACCTCCCCCCCGCCGCCCGATACCGGATACACCGGGACAGGACACGGCTCCAGATACAGCTCCCACCCCCTGACCAGGGACACCGCCCCGGGACCGCGGCTCCATCTGGACACAGGACTCCCTGCCCTCCGTGAGTCCAGCTTTGATCCCTCTGGGGAGGAGGGGGGAAGGGATGAGGTGAGGTGGGATGAACGGGACATAATGAGGATGAGCTGGGGTGAGGAGGCAGTGAAGGGAGAAGATTGGGGAGGGAGGGGGGTCTCTCTGAGGGTTCACTTTGCGTGGGATGTGTGGGTGCTGCAGGATATTGTCATGAGTAATATTCCGGAGCTGGGAGGTGATAATAACAGGGTGATTGATTCCCAATGAATTAAATCAAGCATAAAGACTGTCTTGGGAACATTGAGGGGGATGGGTGGAGAGTGACCCAGTTGAAATATTTGGGATTATAAAAGGTATGTAGACACACACAAGATATTTCTTCTGTAGGACAATAGGACTAGGCTGTTATCAGTCTAATAGTAGTTTAGGACAAAAACAGAAATTGTTGGAGAAACTCAGCTGGTCAGGCAGAATCTGTTGGGAGAAAAAGTTAACGTTTCAAGTCTGATGATCCTTCATCAGAGCCTCAGTAGTTTGGACTTGGCTAGCTCAGTTGGATGGACAGCTGGTTTGCAATGCAGGGTGACATGGACTCTCCTTTTCAACCTCACCCCTAACTTGAGGTGTGATAACCTTTAAGTTAAAGCACTTCTAATCATCTCTCTAATGAAAGAGTAGCCCTTTGGGACTATGATCGGTAGAGGACTCATTTCCACTTTACATTTGTTTTTTTCTTTCTCCACCATTGGCAACCTCTTTGTCTTTTGTTGGTCAAAAGTATAACAAGTGTTTAAAAAAAATTCCAACATTTTTTAACTCAAAAAAAAGTCCTAAACTCTCTTTTTTTGTCTCCACAGATGCCAGAACTGCTGAGTTTCTCCATATTTCTTTGCTATGTTAGCAGTATAAGACAGTCACTAATAAATCCATTTAAGAATTCAGGAAAAATGTCTCCCCAGAGAGTGGTGAGAATTCAGGACTTGGTAAGGAATACCAACCTGTCATGAGCAAATAGTGCATCTAGGACTGACAATGGAATGAAAGCCTTTTACTTGCATAGTACCTTTTAAAGTAAAAGGAATATCCCAAATTGTTTTATAGCCAGAGATAGTAGGAACTGCAGATGCTGG